AAACAGTGTTGAAGTCTATCCCAGTTTCCTATCACCCGGCCGTGGATCTCTAGGAGCTAGATTGAAGAAACTGGTCAGCTTGACTCCATGGCAGTTACATTGGGTCCAGAGTCTAAAAGAGCAGCTGCCGAGGAAAATAAATAAAAAAATGAATAAATAATCCAGCTATCCTCCATCTTCAACAGGTACAACATCCTGGACAAGCAAGAATTCCCTCCACTTGCAACGGACCTCCTCCTATGCTCTCACTCGTAACCATCACCCAGTTGTGAAATAGTGCACTCAGGATTGTTCTGCCTGGTCTGCAGATCATCTGAAGGTGAGTAGAGCAGCCCCATCTCAGGGCCACAGGTTCTCCCTCAGATAGGTCTACACACCCTATACATCAACTAGCATCTCCGAAAAGTCTCTCTAAACCCTATCTATTCAAGGCGCCATAGTCCTCGACATTTTAGAGAATTTTCTTGGCAGACACAGGCACAAATGATATTCCAAAACAGCAGTCAACGATACTGAAATGCACGCTTCTGCATCTTTTTGACACAGTAACAAAACTCTGCAATAGCGTTTTTATCTCTGACCCCACTCATACCTGTGGCCGTGGAATGGGGCAATTAAGCAAGGTGCTCAACCTCAGCACCTGGTTTTCCTCCATCTCTGTTGGCTTGATTTTGTTCTTAACAGAAATGTGGATGAAATCTGGAGAGTACGGTCTATTTGGTGAATTATGCCCTCCCACTTATGATTGTTTAATTCCATCCAGAGAAAGTGGGCGGGGTGGAGGTTTGCCTGTAATGTTTAACAGTTTAAATGCTCACCTATTAAGGTTGATAAAGTCTGTAGCTTTCAGGTGCTGCTTTTTAAAGCATAAAACACCTCCAATATTTTGTTTTCTAAATCGTCAATAGTATTTTTATGTAATCATATTATTTTTGCTGGGGATTTTATCATTTATGTTAATGATCTTACTTATTTTATCTTATCTTAATCCATTATCCCCAGAATAATGAAGTCTTCTGGTTTTAAACAGCATGTTGTTGGACCTACACATAACCATGGACATACTTTAGATGTTTGGGGAGGGTTTTGTTTGTTGTTGTTTTAAAAACACCTGACTTCAATATTAACTC